CTTGTGAGCCTTCTAATGAGGGGGGCAAACAGTGACAAAGTAAGCTTATAGAATTTCAAATAGTAAGGATGCCGAGAGGATGACAAATGAAGGTTCTGTGGTTTGGATATAAATGTCCCCATGTGACCATTCAATGCATAAATGGTCATCTGGCTCCTGATGCCAAGGTTGGAAGATTAGATTAGGAAGTAGGCCCAGTCGGAGGGGGTAGGTCATTGGGAATGGCTTCGAAGGTGACTCACTACCTTGTTCTCTCTGCATCCTGTCCACAATGAAGTGAAAGGACTCTTCTTTTTCTTTTCTTTTTGAGACAGGGTTTCTCTGTGTAGCCTTGGCTGTCCTGGACTCACTTTGTTGACCAGGCTGGCCTTGAACTCACAGAGATCCGCCTGCTTCTGCCTTCCTGAGTTCTGAGACCATAAGCATTCACCACCAGGCCCAGCTTAACTTAATTTATTCACTTTACATCACAATCATAGTCCCTTCCTCTCTTCCTGTCATACTCTTCCTTCTTCTCCTGAAAGGCCTCTTCTTGTTTTATAATAATAATATTATTATTAATTTTAGATAGGGTTTCTCTGTGTAACAGCCCTGGCTGCCCTGGAGCTAGGCTGGCTTCAAACTCACAGAGATCCACCTGCCTCTGCCTCCCCAGTGCTGGCATTAAAGGTGTGCACCACCACCACCCGGCTGAAAGGCCTCTTTTTTTTTTTTTTTTTTTTTTTTGAGTTTTATTTATTTATTATAGATACAGTGTTCCATCAGCCTGTGTGCCTACAGGCCAGAAGAAGGCACCAGATCTTATTATAGATGGCTGTGAGCCACCATGTGGTTGCTGGGAATTGAACTCAGGACCTCTGGAAGAGCAGCCAGTGCCCTTAACCTCTGAGCCATCTCTCCAGCCCGAAAGGGGCTCCTCTTAATAGTGTTCTTGCTTCCATAGGTTCTCCCCAAGTGCATTGGGTCAAATAACCAAGGGCTAAACTCCCTGAAACTGTGAGCTAAGATAAATCCTTCCTCCATTATGTTCTTATCTAAGGTGTTTTGGTCATTGCCACAGAAAAGTAGCCAATGCCTGGGTTAGCATGATACAATGAATATAAAGTGGCGACAAACTCAGGCCTTGCGTGAATAGGTGAGCTGGGGTGTCTGGGTAAGGGGGGCCTCCCCTATTCTGAGAAATAGGGGAGAGGGGATGCAGGAGGGAGGGTGGGACTGGAAGCAGAGAAGGGAGGGACTTATGACCGATATGTAAATTAAATTAGTTAATTAAAAAAGAGGCTATACTGGGAAAAAGGTCTTCGAAGCCTCTCCCAGAAAGTGATACGTGATCAGCAGGCTCACTTAGCCAGACTTACCTTTATGAAGATCTGGGGCAGATGATTTTAGGGATCACAAAAATACCACAGTGGATGCCAGGTGTGGGCATGCATATATGTAATCCCAGCACTCAGAGGGTGGAGGTAGGAGCAAACATCCAAGGTCAGCCTGGCCTACAAAACAACTTTCAGGGCAATCTGGGAGGCTGTAACCAGGCTTTTTGAGATCTGGCTCAGAAAGTACTGTATTTCTCAGCTAATGTACTGACATTTTGAGTTCTGAGGCTTCCAGCAATTTCTTTGTAAATGGCCAAATTTACCGCAATTTGGTAAATTGCACAGGGCATTCTGATATCTGAGACCTTCAGCTAGCTATAGCTTGTCCTATGATATCGGTTGGTATGATGTTGTGAGAGCCAGAATCAGTCATGTCCACTTATCTGTTGGCACTGCTGGTGCCTGTAATGGTCTAATAACTCTCTTACATTCAGTATTCGTAAGCTCAAATGCAAGGGTCGCTGTCAACCATTGCCTCTTGTCAGGGTCTGATAGAGCTCTGTTCACAGCTGAGACCTTTCTTTGCAAGAAATCTGTGAAGCCTTCTCCTGAGCCTTGTACAATCTAAGTAAAAGAGGTGGACCTTTTCCTGGGCTCCTCAGCTTTGTTTCAAGCTCTCTCTCTCTCTTTTTTTTTTTTTTTTTGTCTTTCTGTTTGTTTGTTTTTCGAGACAGGGTTGCTCTGTGTCGCTCTTGACTCCCTTTGCAGATCAGGCTGGCCTTGAACTCACAGAGAACCATCTGCCTCTGCCTTCCCTAGTGCTGGGATTACAACAGCCTCTTTAGAATGCCTTAGAGTCTTCGTTTCTATAGGATGGCATGTTATCTCATCATAATCATGATCAGCACCATAAGAGACTCAGTGAAGATCATATACAATCAAAACTTTCATGACATCTGGTGAAGTTAGAAAACATACTAACCATTGGCAGCAAGTGTAGCCTTGTGTGGGAGGTGATAGCTGAGCCACAGTCGATGGATTGAGTTATATTTATAGTTGCAGAAAAACAGAGGGAGAGAGAACCTGGGCAGAGGCTTGAACACCGGGGTGACTGTGATGTGTTTGTGGAAGAGTAGAAAGCAGCTTGACTTCGGAAAGTAGGTAAACAGGTGTGATTTCTAGAGTGTGCCTTAGAATCCGGCTTTACCACGTGGTGGGGGAGGGGGAGTTAAGCCAGGCGGGCTTAAGTATACCTCACAGACCCATCTGTGTCGATACTCTGTGTCTGTGCTCCTTCTGACCTTTATCTGGAGCTGCCGTGTTCCATTGTGTGCTGGCTGAACCTTGGCTTGGAAACAGTGACCTTATGATGGACAGTTAGCTTGTTTCCAATCACTTGCTATATTCCGAGAGAAACCTGTATGTTTCTCATTTTGTATGTTTGTCAAGTCTCTCTGTACACAGATTCCAATGCGATATAGTTGGTTCTAAAAATAAAGTCTATCTGTAATTTTAACATCACCCCCACAGTTCTTTCACAAGAATGAAACTATTTTTCTTTCTTTTTTTTTTTCTTTAGTTTCTTTGGGGGTGGTTATTTATTTTTTATTTTTCAAGGGAGAATTTCTCTGCATAGTCCTGGCTGTCTTGGAAATTACTCTGTAGACCAGGCTGTCCTCGAACTCAGGAATTCACCAGCCTCTGCCTCCCAAGTGCTGGGATTAATGGCGTGCACCACCACTACCCAGCTTGAGTGATAAACTATTTTTCATTGTCATTAAAATATATGAGAGCAATCAAAAGATTTTTCCAGAACTGTTATGTGAGAAATTATATTTCTGTTTAATTTCGATGTTCGTTTTTCTTATCATGCACTTCCACATTTTGTTTTTTCTTTTTTAAAAGATACATGTTTTGTTTTTTTTTTTTTAAATTATGTGTATGTGTCTCTGCATGGGAATGCAGGTGCTCATGGATGCCAGAAAGGGTGTTGGATCTAATTACCCTGAGCTGGGGTAATCAGAAGCAGATATGGACCACCTGACATGGATGCTGGGCTCTATCTGCAGTCCTGGGCAAGATATGCATTCTTAACCACTGAGCCATCTCTCTAGCCCATATATTATTTTGTATAAGCTTTTGGCCAGCAAAAAGACTCCCATATGTTATATATAGTAAAAGGTTCTAATTAAATATATAGAATTAAAACAAAAGACCGATCAGACATGTGGCCCACACCTTTGATCCTAGTACTTGCAAGGCAGAGGCAGGTAGATCTCTGAGTTTGAAGCCAACCTGGTCTTAGGGAGTTCCAGGCCATGCAGGTCTACACAGTGAGACCCTTTCTCAAACAAACAAACAAACCATGCATCATCCATAGAAACATTTAAGATGAGCTATTTACTAGAGCTAAGTCAGTCCTGGGAGAAGCAGTAACAGAATAAATTAATTTTCTCATAGGATCAGACAGAACATAAGTGAATCCAATATCATAAACACTCATTGCCTCTTTGATGCTATTTGGATAAGATAAACAGCACTTGGTGCATGCAACAAAAAACTGGAAAGAAATTAACATCTGTATCACAGACCCAGCTTTGTGAATGGTAGTGTTTGCTTCCTCAACATCTCTCAGTTGTATGATTCTTTAGAAAAAAAAATTGTGTGTATATGTGTGAGTTTGTATGCAGGTATGCAGTGCCTGTGGAGGCCAGAAGAGCATCAGATTTCCTGGAGCCTGGATCCCAGGTTGTGAGCTCCCTGACCAGCATGCTTGGACCCAAACCCAGGCATCCCCGCAGGCAGTGATAACTCTTCGCCTCCGAGCCAGCTTGCCAGTGTGATTTTCAGTAGGAGTCGAGTAGGTGTATTTGATTGGTTTCTTATATCTATCACCCTTCTCCACCCCAATCCCTTCTAACCCCTCAACATCAGGTAGGTGAGAAAGGAGGTTAGAGGGGAAATGGGGTGAAGACATCTTTAGACTACTTCCTGCTGAAGGGACACCGGGTTCCTTGGGACAAGTTTGACCTTTGCGGCCATGATAGTCAATTCTTCTCTGTGGGTGACTACTTGACAAACTGCAACAAATTGCAACCGGCCAACGGTAGCAACAGCACCAACAGCCACAACAACAGAGGAGGGGAGTAACACACTCTTCTGAGCATCTTGGCCCCTCTTGGGGCTCTGGCATTCATACCCTCGCTAGATGGTGCTCTTAACTGTTGAGCCATCTCTCCAGCCCTTATAACTAGGTTTTTAAAGAAACCAAAAGTTCCCGTCACAGAATCACTTTTCGAGTTTCAGGGTAAAATATTAGTGCGGTTTGAATATTGCCAACCCTTCTCACTGTTACAATGAAATAATACCATAACAACGGATGCCTTAATATTCTGACTCTAAATTGGTCAGTTTCCTTCTCAGGAAATATCTGAGCCATCTCTGCTGTTGAGCCTATCACTTAGCTGTATTCCTTTGTGTTGGTTTGATGTTTGCTGCAGATGTTTTGAGGCATGGTCTCCCATAGCTCAAGCTGATCTCTAGTTCACTATGTAGCCTAGGATGACCTCGAACCTCTGACTCTGCCGACGCCACCTCCAGAGTGTTGGGATTTCAGGTAAACTAGCATACCTGATAACTCTCCTGTTTTCCTTGTATCTGATGGCGATATTCTCATCCTTGCAGGTGGTATTGTGAAGGCAAAGAGCTTGAAAATTCTCCAGACATCCACATTGTGCAGGCGGGAAACCTGCACTCACTGACCATTGCCGAAGCCTTTGAGGAGGACACGGGGCGGTACTCATGCTTTGCTTCCAACATCTATGGGACAGACTCAACTTCTGCTGAGATTTACATAGAAGGTAAAGCTAAATATTTTTGGAGCATGGCATGTACTATCAAAATATAATTATCTGTAATTAAACAAACATTCACCTGTTCTACTCATCCGGACACTGGGGATAGATAATAGCTATGAACAAGTAGACAAAAGTCTTCAGTTGACATGAAATTACATTATAGTGGGAGAAACTACAACTGAATGAGATAAACGATGATAAATACACAACATTATAGAAGAAATAGAAAAGAATGAAAAGGAATTGTTGGCTGTAATTTAAATTAGGCGACTGATACAGACCTCACTAGTCCGATGGCATTTGAGGGAAGGCCTGAAAGAAATAAAGTGGTGGTCACAGGAAAGTCAAGGGAAAGCCACCTTGGCAGAGAAATCAGAACGTGCAGCAGCCCAGACCTGAGAGAACATCAGTCTTGAGGTGGAAATAGCCAGTAGTGGTCCACGTGAATAAAAGCCTGGAACCTGAGTTTTACCCCTGGTTCCCACAGTGAAGGAAAGAATCAGTTCCAAAAAGTTGTCATCCGACCTCTATGTATGCCTACACACACACATACACACGTAATAATAATAATAAACAAAAACAATTTAAATAAAATATGAAGAGTTAAGCCAATGTGGTCAGAATGGATTGAGCCAGGGTGAAGGTGTCAGACAATGAAGCCTGAAGTTCAAGGTGGAGGGAGGCAGGTGAGCAGAACCCGAGTCCTTCTCAGTCATTGCGAGACTTTGCTTCTGGAAGGTTCTGAGGACGGATGTGGTATGACATGACTTCCCTTGAGCTGCTGGTTGAGGCACACACTGTGAGGGGCCAGGCGTAGAAGTTTGGTGGCCACTTGAGGCGTTCCAAACAGGAAGAGTTTTAAAGGAGAAATCAATTTGTTGTCCTTGGGTATCTGTTAAGCATTTGTTCCTATTTGCTTCATCCCCTGTATATCAGCTGGGGCACTGTTCCCTAGCACTTTTTCCTGCCTGTGCAACACCTTAGTATATGCCTTGCCTCAGGCACTTACATAATACATGATCATGGAGTAAACTCTCATTTGCCAAGAAGATTGCAAGACCAAAGTGGTCACATTCCTCTTTATTTTCATCTTTCGGTGATTTCCACAGAGCTAAGCACATATTGAATATTTGACAGACGTTCAGTGAGTAAACACATGGGTCGGAATGTGTTCCGTGTTTTCAGCCTCAAGTGTTTGGAGTACAGTGAATACCTCCTGGTTTAGCTCTACTGTGCATTCCTGGAGTTTAGAAGTAAATCTAGGACCAGGCATCCGGTAGGAGAACTGAGATTGTATTCCTGTTTGTTTGTCCATTCTGGCATCTGGACATCAAACACTCCCCCTCCCAACAAGAAGGATGATTTGCTAATATTAGGACAGGACGGAAGAGCCCCCGCCTACACCTGCAATGTTTGGAGTCCAGAATAATACCCTTTCACCCACTCGGTGGGAATTTATGAACGCCAGGGAATGCCTGCAAAGACTGTTAGTCCACTGACCTTAGCAGGTGCTTGACACTCTGGAATTGAGACCATGGTCCAGTTCGTTTGCCCTGCACCACCCACTGGCACGTGCCCTTGGTGGGCTCCTTCACTTCTTAGGGTCTCTTCCTCCTTTGCCAGATTGTTCACGTGAGGAACCACTAGGTTGTTCCTAAGTCTGAGACTCCTTTTTAGGTCTTCAGATGCTTAAGAATTTGTTTAATAAATGGTCGTTTAAAAAAATCCCATCTCTTGTTTTCATTTCTCCAGGAGTCTCTTCCTCTGACTCAGAAGGCGACCCTAACAAAGAAGAGATGAATCGGTAATCCTGATAGCTAAACATCCTCAGACTGCAAGAGAACCCCTAACTAATGTCTAGCACTTGAAGGAGGTGGTTTCATGATAGAGCGTTCCATTTCAAGAAAATGTGTGTGTGTGTGTGTGTGTGTGTGTGTGTGTGTGTGTGTGTGTGT